CGGTCAATTTTATATATAAAGTTATTTTTTCGTATTCTTTTGACTGTTGTAGCTGAAACCTTTGTTTTATGGAATTTTGACAATTTTTTGGCACATTGAATACCACTTTCTTTGGGATATTTTTTAGTTCGTTTTATCACCAACCTTTTTATTCTATCTCGTTGTTGTTGAACTTTTTTAACAAAAGAAGACCGTTTCAAATTAAAGTATTTGTATATTCGAGCCTTTCCAGGTGCAACTATATCATTTTCTCTAAAAGCACGGATGATATTATTGGGAGTGCAAATTCCACTTTTTATACATTTTTTATATTTACTTCTTTTGACACTTCTTTATCAAGTATTATAATAGCTGAATTCATCAATTGATTTTTTGACTTAACTGAAATTATATCTAATTTTGAGGTTGTTTGTTTCATAAGCATTCTTACCTCTTTCTTGAATACATCAATTTTATCTTTTTCAACGTAATTAATTGGTAATAAAAATGTTTGTTTTGTTTTGTTTTGTTGAAGTTCCGCTTCCGATTAACATATCACAAGTTTTTTCAGTTAATCCAAATGATCCTTTGGATGCTTCTTCCAAATTTTTAAGTTGATATTCATTACAATATTCAAGAAGTATACTTTCGTATATTTCTTCGTTATAAATTTGACATAAATAATAGTTGTGTAATTGTGTAAACCATATTTCACCCGACAGTATTTTCTCGTACAATCTTTTAAAGGTAATTGTTGCATATTTATTTTTGAGTATTTTTGGTTGTATTATGATTGTTTAACCTCACTTGTGTTTGAAGTTATTGTTTTACTTTTATTGCAAAAAATAACTTTAAATGCACTTTTGATTTGTTAATACAAAAAATGTAGACCAAAAATTGGTCTGTTGGTGGTCCAGTAAAACAATAATAAAACATGGGTTTACTCAGAGGTTGAGGATATTTATGGCAATATTTTCAAGGTTTTTTCTTTTGCTGATCTAATTGACATAGTAAAAAACACTATGTCAATTATTTTCTTTGGTCTGTTCATGGTCCTGTTTTTGATTTGTGGTATACATTAACTGTGTACATTAAAATGTATATTCTTAACTTTGAGGCTTGTGCATTTTTAGAAAAAGTATTAATATGAAAAACCAAACATAAATAATAACAACCATAAGTTCTTTTAGTTATTTTAATTGCAATCATTATAATATTCATTTTTATGAAAGATATATCACCAACATCCATTTAGATGATCAAAAATGAAATGAAAACTGATCATTATTCAATAGAGTTTAAAAAGTTGTCAACAAAAAAAACGAAAAAAAAATGTAACACAAATGAAAGACAAAACAAATGAAATGTTGAAGCAAACCGATTCAAAAAATAATGAAAAAATATTTGAGTTGTTAAAGAGTCTTAAATTTTGTTATGTTACTGGTTAATTATACAATTCAACAAATTCAACAAATCAACAATTGTTCAAGAAACACCGTGGCTCAAAAAAGCAATCAGAGCATTATATTACTTTTTTGGTATTGCAATAAATATCCACATCAATCAAGAGAGCGAACAACCACGACTTCTTTGTATTTTCACTACATAAAGTAAGGGGAGAAAGCCACGCCTGTAGAGAAACCCGTACCCATTTTTTGTTCTTTTATCACAATTATTGTATTTTTTTACTTCCAATATATATATATAAAATATCGAAAAGTCTGATCATTTTAGTTTTTTTTCTTCTTTTTCTGTTTTTTTTAAAATAGAAAATAATTTGAGTTTGATTTGAAATTGAACTGTTGTGATACAAAAACAGCCCATTTTTAACGCATTTTAACGAATTATTACAGTGTTTCAAATTTGTGTTTATTTAGAAATGATAAATACTATTATACAAACCATATAAATAGTTTACTGTTATAAACTATTTTTTTTTAATTTTTAATGGTTTATTGATTTTTAATTTTTAAAAATAGATTCAATTTTCACACGACAAATTCTAAAATATAGCAACTTATAGTAAAAATAATCAGAGATTTGCTTTTTTTCAAGACAAATGTCAATTGTCTCTTCGAAAAAAATCTATCGTAGCTATAATACTTATGAATAATAATCAAATATGTTTTCGTGGAAATGTGTTATTGAGGCTTTATTGTGTATTGAATATCACCGATTTAAAAATTGGTTCAAAAATAAATAAAAAAGTTACGATTTGACCGTTTATGGCACAATTAATCTTTTATAACGTCGTGGATAAAAAACAAAAATGTTTATATGCAAATATTTGTACATCAACTGAACAATGAAATGACAACACTTTGTATTAAAGGGGTGGAAAAAAACCGCTTCAGGAAAAAAACCGCTTTTGATAATTTTTGGTATTTAATGGTAAAATGTTTTCGAAATGTTATTTGATTTTATTTTTTTTATTTAAACAAAAAGAAAAAAACAACATTTACATTTTGCCAGAGCATTTTTTCGAAGTATTTAGAAGAAGGCTGTTAAAGTCTATTTATATTACAATGGAAAACTGAGTTATTACAGAATTTATTTGAAAGAAAACGGGAAACAGCTTACAATCGTAAGAAATATAACCAAATATACATAAATTTTTAATTAAATTTTATTATAATATATTAGTGTAGTAAACGCGGTGTTTGTTAGTCTTATATCGTTTGAATTAACAAACCAAATTATCATCTTTGTAGTCTGCCTCATCATCTTTTTTATTTTCAGAGTAAATTAAATTAAGTCTTTTTGTCATTGTTGTTTTTGTGCTTTATTTTGTCTTCATAAACACATGAGTTCAAGTCTATGTTGTCACTGTCGTGGTTTTGATGTTGTTAGACATAATAAACAAACTGTTTGACCTTGCAATGAACGAGATAATTTGATATTGTCGCTTTTGGAGATCTCCTTATAAACCCTTATCATTGGTAAAAATAGAACTTACATTTTTAAAAAAATCATGTTTGCGATAAAACCATACCAACTAGGTTAATTTTGATTATTAGTAAAGTTAGAGCATTATGTAATTATTTTGCTTGGATATTGTCAAATGAAAAATAATTTTGTTTTTAAATGTTTAATATGTTGTCAATCTATGATTTATATTATAATTTATGACATTGCGAAA